TCAAATGTGAACCTGAATCATTTGAGACTGATACGAGTACAACAACCGACTACCAAAACAGGTCTCACGTGACGGCAGCAAACTTTACTTCCAATCTACCAGTGTTGACTTTGGAAATTGTATATCCGCAAACACATAACCAGACAGAACTAAATTATGGGCACGAATACGTCAAAAGGGGCGGTGATGGTACGAGTGAAGACTTCGGGACAATCGTAAGACGGTTCGATGCGGGACAAAACGTATTTACGGAGTCGCCAACGTTTGCTCACTATGCAGGAGTCCGTGAGCGGGGCCAGTCGTCGAGTCTACATAACAAGCGTGGGCTTAAAGTGGAATTCTGGGATTCTGATGATGAGGGTGATAACGTGTATATATCTCACTTCCCAAAAGGGGAGGACTTTGTACTTCGCGGACCCTTCACTGATAAATCGCTCCTGCGGGATCACCTCGGATATTCGGCCGCAAGACAGACTGGAAGGTACTGCCCCCGCACAGAGCTGCACGAAGTCTTTATCAAGGAAGATAGGGGACCCGGGGTAGACCAAACACACTATGCCGGCGTCTATGTATTTACAGAAAGTGTGAAGAGGGACAAGAACAGAGTAAATGTGGAGAAAATACAACCAGACGGGACAACTGGATTGATACTGAAGGTTGACGCAGCATTCGGGGAAGGCAGCGCTGCACTGGTGAAAGGCACCTTTTATACGGAGGGGGCAGATGGAAAAGCGGATGTACTGCAGCAGGGTTTATTCATAGACTATCCCAATGAAAAAGACCTTACTGAGTCTATTCTACGCAATACACAGGAATTCATCAGCGGCCTAGAGTCGGAACTGGATCGCATCAACGATCCCGCTGCCACCGATGCACGCAATGTTGAATCACCCTCGTATCGAAAATACATAGATCCGACGTCCTTTGTAGATTACCAGCTGATACAGGAGCTTGCAGACAACGGCGACGCTTACTTCCGATCGACATTCTTTCATAAGGAGATTGGGGGCCGTCTGCAGGCCGGTCCCATCTGGGATCTGGATTTGGCGTTTGGGAATGTTGGATGGGATATGGAAACGCCTGCGAGTGACTTCAAGTACAACTTTATGGAAGGCAGACCGTTCTTCGCTCAGCTTAATAAGGACGTAAATTACAAGTGCCTGGTTGTATGTCGATGGAACATACATAGAGTAGGAGGCCTGAGTGATGAGTGGTTTGAGGGGTTCTTTAATGAAAACCGGGCTTTGCTCTCGAAAGGGCCATCCGAAAGGGAGTTTAAACGATGGAAAACCTTGGGGCAATATGTTCCTCGAGTGGGACTCGGGTTTAATAGCACAGCCCCATCGTTCTATCTCGAATCGTGGGAGGACGAGGTTGATATGCTCCAGAAGTGGGTGTCGATGCGACTACGGTTCATGGACAATGTGATGCAGGGCCAGAAAGAGTACTTAAATTGCGACTGCGAGTACGCTGACGAGTGGGCACAGATTATAGAGTGATTGGTTTCAATAAGACCTGCGAGAACTTGTACATCTAACACACACAAATAAATACTTTATCCAATATCACCTGTTACTCGCCGAGATTATTCAATGGTTTTATCTTGCGATGGATGAGCGCCACTGATTGATTTGAGAAAACAACTGCTAGATCGACAGCAAGGCCTTTATTACCAACGAGCGTACGTACCTTAATAACATCCAGAATTCTTTACACTCATGATGTTTTGCGTTGACTGAGTTGTTGGCACAGGTGTGTTCGGAACTTATCATGACGTACTCGACCCTCGCTCACCATTTGCGACGGTTTGCTGTGAGTAACACTACATCCCGAGAGTAAGGCTCAACGAGTAGCACGTGGATATGTTCATACGCCGAAGCCAACGCCTACCTCGTTTACTTATGCTCTTCTCCACTATTACATAACGCACTAATCATAATTTAGTGCTTTGCAACTTTTTGTAAGCGAGGTTGATGCGTCCATTGCAATCTTGAGCAGTACAAAATTCACGCAGAGGACAAACAGTTTAGGTGCAAACTTTATAAAAGAGCGTGCTCATACCTTGTCTGATATAACCAGAAAATCGTGCCAATCAAACAAAGACACTAGTCACGAATGCTGCCGATTTTGTGCACTTCCTTGTTTCATAAGTTCGATGCATCAAAATCCTGTCGGAATTGACCTTGTCATTATAAAGATATAAAGATATATGTATATATATATACATATATATACAAATATATATATATATATACATGCATAGGTTTATGCTTGTGATAATTATGCACAGCCCACTGGTAGCATTAACGCTGTACGAAGTTCAGAGCTACTGGTTTCGCTCACAGCAGAAGCAAAGTCGCTGATTGTGCACCTTATCAACCTGTTCACAAAGGACCTCCGCACAGAATGTCACAAGAGGCTGGTTGCTGCACTGCTTCCGCGACTACAAAATGTTTCTAGCAAGAGACATTGACATCTAACATGCATGTCTAACATCAGACTAAAGACATCTCTTTCGCGTGAGTGAACACCATTCTGTCCCATCATCACGTTGTCGAGTCTACAGTTTCGTCTCGCATGAAAAAGTGGCATGTGCAGCATACTCGAATACACATTATCAATACCCTGCAACGAAGCAGCGTGTTTCATCATAGAGGGTAATGGGCGCTTTCGGTAACGGGAGCTTTCGAGCCACCGTGCCGTTGCCTCTTCGATTCGGTGGTGGAATGGGTAGCGCGAAATTGGTTTCCACAACGACTTCGCAATCAAAGTAG